GATTGTTGCAGAATATGCCAAAATCAGAACTAGACAGATTAGAAAATAGCTGAAATGTAAACTTTAATGAAACACAAAAAATCCAGATCGCCAATTTATAAAATGTAGCCATAATTTGGCAGATTATTCTAAAATTAGTGAAGGGTTATCATAAAATAGCTACAGTAATCTTAGCTAATCTAAAACATTAACATTTGGAGTCATTTAGCTTTATATGTTGTGTCAAAATATGTCATGACGATAAATGTTTTCATCTGAATTGAATCTGAAGTCATCTTTGTAACGGATTTCTGTTCTGCACAGACTCAGGGCTGAAGAAGGAGCGCCGCAGGAGGAAGAAGATCACCAACATCATTTCATTTGACGATGACTTGGAAGGAGGTGCGGAGGATGACGACGAAGCAGAGAAAGAGCATCAGAAGATGGCGATGGTGAGGAGGAGTCACACCGCTCCTGCTCAGAGCAGTGTAGAAGAAGGCCTCGATCCTCTGGAGCCCGCTTTGTCCCAGTCTCCAGCCCAGAATGGAATGCCTGAACCAGACATTGTCAGCTGGGTGGGATCTCCGCATCCCTGTCGCACCCCGCCTTCATCTGCACCTCCTTTGCCAGACAGGAAGAGTATAGACAATGAGGAGGAAGAGGAGGAGGAGGAAGAGGAGGAAATGTACAAGCCTATGCCACAAACCCAGGAGCAAGAGGAGAGGAACAGCCATGATCAGTGAGTCACATGTTCGACCAACGACTTGTGGTATTCATGGTATAAAACGGGTGTCCTCAAAGTCTGGTTCAGGGCCAGTAGTGGCCCTAAGGACAGGGGACATTTCTCTAATTTTAGGCCATAATTTGTGCTCTTTTTAGATGACTTTAAGTCAATTCAACACTCCTTTCACTATCATTATTTTTTGTGTCTAAAAGAAGCTCATTTTTATGCAATAAAAAACAGAGAGACATTTTTTATATATTTTTCAGGGTGGTGGTCGGAAGTCTGTCCAGTGTGTCCACGTGGAGCCCTCTACAGGTGAAGACTGAACACAGCAGTTCAGACATCCTGATACCTGTGAACTCTACAGACCAACAGCCAGGTAGAGTACAATAATTAACTGAGAATAAATACTGACTAGCCACCTAGCTATTATAAACCCTGAAAAAGTGAAAGCATAACTAAAAAACTTTACACAACTTAAAGTTAGCAAAAAGTGAGAACATTCCCCCAAATACCTAAAGATATTCAAGGTATTCTAAAAATACCTCAAAAGCTGTTTAGAGTAAAAACGCCCTCAAATAGCCAAAACAACTCTGAAAGTTAGCTTTAAGCTAAGCTTTTTTTAACCATAGCTGAAGGCCCCCCACATGTCTGTCTTAAAACCCCAGAGAATAAAAAGGTTTAAGAAACACTTCCTCATGTTTTGTGACCATATCTGCAGTTAGAGGGACTTTCTCTCACTGATGATTTACTTTCACTTCCATTCTGTTACAGTCAGCTCAGTGGAGGACACGGCTGCATTTCCTGCTCACTGTGAGTCGTCAGGCCAGGTGGAGAACTGTGAGAGCAGCAGGTCTCAGGAGCTGACATTCAAGTAAAGACTACGTTTTTTTTTTTTGCACAAGCAAGAAGATGTCTGACCTTCACAGAACCTGATTCCTGATTTTCTGTGTTGCAGCATGGAGTCCAGTCCGCCCACACAACCTGCACCCATCTCCAGTGTTCTGCCCACGTCTGCTCTGCCTGAGTCCATGACAGTGGGTGAGTGTTTTACCCTCCAACATCTGTCTCTCCGTCTCTGACTGATCCTCACATTCTGGTTCCTGTCGTCTTCTGGTTAGTCCTCAAAACCTGTTCTGTCCATAATCTCCTCACTGATTGTTATGACACGTGAGGCAGCATCATGACAAGGAAATAAAAAGTAGACATGCTTTTAATCAGGTGTAAGGTTACAGACTAGTAGCTGAAAACAGCCAAAGATTAAACTGCTTTATCAGTTAGAAAACAAATGGCTTCAGCACAGGAAAAATACCTAATAAATACTTCCACTAAAAAACACAAGATAACTAACTAAAATTGGCTAAGGTAGTCTGCTGAAATAGCTTTAAATCCCTTTAGTCCATCATGTGTTCCACTGTGGTGATCAGTCCACAGCAGGTGGCAGTGTTGGTCTACTGTTGTGCATGTAACTGTATTAAACACGCATGTCCTCCCTGCTGCAGGAGTGAGATGTGTGTGTGCGTGTGTGTGCCTTTGTTATTTCTGTGTGCACCAGGGTAGTAAAGGTGAGTGCATCAGCCTGTAAGTCCTGGGATTGAGCTGTCCCACTATCTGTTAGCTCTCACTAAGAGGAGGTTAAAAGGTCAGGAAAAGAGCCAGTGATCTGCCGACGGCTGGACTGGAGTCAGAAAATAAACAGTTTTCAAGAAACACAGGTCTTTGCTGGATGACAAAAAGAGAAAATAACACTATGTGGTGGCAATGCTTTTAGGCTAGTACAAAAGTAGCTAAAGTGTTAAAAAGCTCAGAGACAAATATTTTCCAAGATGGTCATAAACAACCTTAAAGTTGGCACAAAAATCTTTAACATGTAATCACAAAAATGCCAAAATTGTTGGCCCAATTTTAGAAAACATATGTAAAAGTTATCCAAATGTATCTACACCCTTCATTTAGCCAAGCTCTACTTAAAGGTTAAAAAGCTCTGCCACTCTGTTCTGTCTCACATACAACCCATATGGGGCTGTTCTCTCCCAGGGTGACTTCTGTCCTGATCTGATTGCATGACAGGTCATTGATTGGAGAGAATGGAGACTGTAATTCAGCGTGCCTCTGATTATATGGTCCGACTCTCTGCTAATGTCTCCATTACTGGAACAATTAGCCAACGACATGTAGGTTCTCATGGAGAACCTCGCGCGTACACACTCGTACATGGCTTTTAGTCATTTCACCAGCAGATGTGTCATTGGTACTTGTGAGCGTCATCTTGAGCTCGTGAACACGTGCTGTAATTGGCCCGTGTCCCCGTGATTGGACGGACGGGCGTTTGGATCGGCTCGGTCCCTAATGGCTCGTCTGTGGCACCTGCTGAGAACGCGTGGTCGGACTAAAGGTCACATTTATTTCTGGCCTGCTGATGTGGAGAACGGAGCCGTGGTGATAATACACTCACTCATTTTCTGCTCCAGTGTTGTCCTCTTCCTCCTCCTCTTCCTCCTCCATCTTGTCCTCTGCCTTCTAACCCTCGTCCAGACTGTTTGCTCAGGGCTCTTGAAGACCAACCAGTGTCGGAGCCTACACTTACATCCTGTATTATTAATGAGGATAGAATTGTGGTTCTTCTGTGTGTGCGTGTGCGTGTGTGTGTGTGTGTGTGTGTGTGTGTGTGTCTGTGTAAGATGAACTTATTTTTAGAAGTTTGTGGTAACAGCCAAGTCACACAGCCTCATGTGCTCCTCCAAGCATTATTAGGAAGATGAGTCACTGTACCACCACACAGCCAGGCCCATGTCCTATCCTTAACATCAGGATTGGGATAAACGTCAGCCGTTTGTTGTTGACAAACTTTCTGTTATTATTACAGGTGCAGCACACTGATATTTCTGTTGGACTATTTCCTGTACTCAATAAACAAAGCCTTCAGATTTGAAAAGCCTGATTCACACATTTGATCTCGTGACATGACTCTTTGACACGTGCACACTGTTGCTGTGCAGATTCTAGTTACTGTCTAATTGAGGTGTATATTTATTCAATTATTTGGGACTGCGTTGACTTTCCCTCTGTGACTCCTGCACCACCATTAGCATATAGCAGACACAAACAGACAGACGTGACACAGCTCCAGTGACTCCTGTAAGCCTTTAGCTGTTAGCGTGAACTTCTTTCTCTCCACCGCGCTGATCCTTCTTTGTTTGTCTGAGTGTGAACTGATAAATATTTAAGCTCACTCAACTTTAAAAACCCTGCTCCAGCTCCATGCAAATCAACAAGTCCTGATTATAAGTGTCTCAGATCTGTTTATTGCAGGGCTGGTTTCCATTATCAGGTGTTACTTATAAAAGAAAGACTCAACTTTTCATTCATTAAACTGTCAGAAAGCCATACTCAGTCTGAATACGTAAATAATACTGAGACAAATATAGCTGTACTTAAGTCACTTACTTTTTCTCACTGCTTTCCTTTTAATACCAACATCAGCCGGTGTTTTCTGCTACTACATTTATCTCAGGTTATTGTCTTTCCCTGTGCGTTAAAGAGACACTACCATAAAAACGAGACTGCACATAAACTGTTCTGAGAATATAAAACCTAATTTTATCAAAGCAGCGATGGTACAAAAGTGCATCATTAATCCAAGGAAGTGAGGAATGAAAGAGGGATTTTTTTTTCTTACTTTTATACCAGGAAACTAATAAATGCTGTTTTTTCAGTATTGCCTGTGTATATTTGATGTATTTGAGGTTGTTTTGGACTCGTGCTTTAATCTGTTTTTCTCCTGCAGTGGAGCTGCGGCAGGCCATCGTAGCCATGATGAACAGAAAGGACGAGTTGGAAGAACAAAACATGTATGTTGAACTGCATCAAGACATTTTATTTACTTTTCAATTGAGCTTTATTATCTAGTTTTGAATCTAAGAATTCCTTGGAGTGCCACATCTTTGCTTCATGTGTTTTATTAATGCACTGCTTTTGGACTGGTGGAGTAGTTTTTGGATCAGTAAAAGTCCTGTTGAAATAGCTGAGCCCAAAACCTCACATTATACACCACCAACAGTAAGAACTGACCAGTATTGTAATAGATGTGTGTGATCCTCTTTCTGTATGCAGCGTATCGTCTTGTTTTGATTTCCTCAGACTGGAGGCTGACTTGTGATGACTTGAGGCAGTAAAACAGTTTAATTGTGTTTTTTTTTTGTTTCAGTGGTGCTAATCAGCTTTCACAGACTTATTTACAGCCACGGAACAGATGCTAAAATGGATCGCTGAGCAAACGGCGAAGCATTGCCCAGTGCCATTCTGTTGACATGTACAGAATACACAGTGTTGGGGTGATGCATCTCCTGGTCATTAATCATAATTAGCTATTAACTATGATTTAGGGTGAGGAGCAACCCAGTCACTGACGTGTGTTAGTTTCTATCTAATGGTTATATCGGTGGTTATATTTATTAATTTAAACTAAAATGTTGTTGACAAAATGTCAAGACGTGTGTTTGAATTTAAACATTTAGAGATTTTCAATTATTATTTTTTCCCCAAATAAATTTTTGTATTCAATTATTCACTCAAATTATTATTAAAAATCAATATTTGACAGGATAGGCAACAATTTTTCAATTCATATCAGTCCTGGTTGATGACTTATCAATTATGAGACGTCAAAATATTTATTCTTCATCCATATTTATGGCAATACATTCACAGAATATAACTATTATATTCAACACTCCAAGACTGTTTTCTTTCTGAACCTTGTACCAGGAATTTTGTGGCTAAGGTAGCTTTGAAGTTCATGCTAACAGCAACATTTTTAAATCAAGGTGATACTGTGTTAAATACTGTCATGACATGAACTCTGTAGTCACCTCTGCATCTTCCTCTGGCCAGCAAGCAGACTTTACAGTAGCTCTGTGTGCCAGAAAAAGTAGATTTGAAATGTGTTATTTTTTCTGTAATACATTGTTCATAAATAAACACTTTAAAGTCCTAGCTCTAATTCTAATGTTGATCCTGTTTTGTTGGACAGCTCTCTTCGCTCTCTGCTGGACGGGGAGATGGAGCACTCATCTGGCCTGAGGCAGGAAACTGACTTGCTGAAGAAGAAGCTGGCAGAGTTGGAGGAGAGACACTCGGCCAAGGTCCAGGCACTGGGAAGGTGAGAAGCAGCATTAATGTTGAGGGGAAGTATGAATTAGTTTGTCTTCTTCTGTTTGCTGTATAAGAGGTTTGAATGAATGACCTTCTGCAGTCATTTCTACTGTATTTTACACAACTTAGAACCTCAGAACCTTTAAAGCTACATCCACAGCAATTCACCATATTCTGATATGAAATACTGTGCTGTTTGTAAAAGGTATTGTCATCAAGTTGAATTTTTGTGAAGCGTTCTTTTCCCAGGACCATGAAGGCATCACTGCCAATACTTGTCCTCTGACTGATCCAAATTGCTATTGTGAAGATTTTACCGCAAAACTTTCTGTTTAATCTACTTCAATCTCTACATTTATGGCATCAGTTAAAAGAAAACATGACAGGTTTTGATGATTGATTTGTCTTTCGCGGATATTGTTTATAGTATTACCTTTGAAGAAGCCAGCGTGGCACCAGTAACCATAGCTATAACAGCCTGAAGGACTTTCACGCCTGTGATTAAAACTGCTCTCTGCTGCTGAATACCTACAGTTGCTGCGTCGCTGCCTCGCACGTAATCATAGTAATTAACGCTGAAACTTAGACAGGAAGAAGAACTGTATTTGTGCAAGTATCAGCGCTGGGTCTGTAACTTCCAGCTCATTATCCAAAGTATTGGCTCGCTCAGTGTGTATTTAATTTCCTAGATCTAACATAACACACTCTTTTGTCCCGCTAAGTGACCACCTACAGCTTCCCCGACAGTCAATTGCGTCACCCCGGCATCTACAATTGATTTCCTGTATGCCAGAAGTCTTGAGTTGAGCCTTGAGCCCTTTAAATAGAGGATTAGTCATCCTTCAGCGGTCCAGGCAAGTCTGTGTTCAGAACGGCGCCTCCTACAGTACGCTAAGCCACCTGCTAGGATTGATCACGTTACTCAGACTGGGGTGTTTAGGGACTTCAGAGGCCGATGGGCTTGTTGTCTGCAGAGCGGCGCCAAGAGATGATCATTTCCCTGTTCACACGGAGCACTTTTAATGGAGTGCAAATGGGAAGAGAGAGGAAAAAAGGAAAAACAATGGCAACAGGAAGAAGCCATGGCCTCACACTTGCCTCTCTGCATGGCCACATGACCAAGTTAATGCACATATGCAGACACACAAAGCCAGTTCTATAAGCCGCTGCTCAATCTGAAGGGCTGCTTTTCCTTCTCAGCCAAATCTGCTGCGATCAATAGAGGCTATAAATATCACTTCTGGAGCAGCTAGCCTCTGAATGAGGGCTAGAAGCTGTCGGAATCATTCAGTGAACCAGGCAACTGGCAACCGTTGCTATGTATCCCACAATTCTTTTGTTCTCCTCTCGCGTCTGAGGCTGAACCAGGGGCCTGAAAGCTGACACTGGTGTCATCTCAGCACTTGATGGGACTCTTCACATCCTCCTCAACCGTCACCTGACCCCGGCACCTCACTGCTGTCGAGCTAATTGAGCTGCTGTTTGACACTGATTTTTTTTTTCTTTTCTTCTGCCCTGACCTTGACGGATTTCACGTAGCCTCCAGCGCAATTATTGAGGTTAAACGTATGACCTCAACTTCAGATGTCTTGCTATTTCAGCCATTTATCGTCCTGTGTGTGTGTGTCTGTGTGAGTGTGTGTGTAGCCTAGCTGTATACGGGGGTGGCAGAGGATGAGCCAATCGCCATAGATAGATTTTGGCTGACGTAAACTCCAGCAGAGGGGAGTGGGCTAAAATGAGCATCTGCTCACTTTCTGACTTACTCACACACACACATACACTGAGGGTGTACAGCTGGACCCTTAGTCACTCCACCATCCAAATATAATATAAACATGTAAGACCCTTAATCACACGGTGTAGTTGGAAAAAAAGTCCAAACATTTTTAGCAGGAACCAGATTTAATTCAACAAAGATATCAGAGGGACTTCCTGTCGTATTTCTGACTATAATTAAACTGCATGACTTCCTGTCCCGTATTTCTGACTATAATTAAACTGCATACAAATCCACTGCACTCCATCAGTTTGTATTTAATGCAAAATAAGTGATTTTGTGTCACTAGTTAATTTGACCAGATCGGCCTAGAAGTTGTCCCTGGACGTGTATAATGTAATAATCCTGACTTTGTCAAAGTTAAAATCAATTAAAACAAATTTAATTACGATTGATGAAAAAATGATGATGATGATTGATAGCATTTAGTTGTAAAAACAGTTTAGCCGAGAGGATAGCCACAAGATATAACAGGAAAAGAAATTAGAAGTAGAGAAGTTCAAGCAAAATATTCCTATTTTACCAAACAAAATATATTCCAGGAATGCATTTTAAAGCCAACAGAAGAAACAGAAACAGAAGAAATGTGTCTTTTTCACCAGTTCACAAACTGCTTCTCTGCCTTTTCCTAAGGAGTAAAGCACAAAACAAAAAATGGAACAAGGTGTTGTTCACTTATTTAATACATTTACAGTTATTTTTTTTAATGATATGATATATTTAAATCTTTGGTGTGATTGGTGAAAAGTTCAATAAAACATAACACAGACTCAACACCTGACAAAGATATAATGATAAAATGTATTAAAACTGTTAAAGGCACATGTGTGAAGTTGAAATGAAATTGTTAGTAGTTAGCAACTGTTGGCATCACTTGAGTGACACGGTGACAAACGGCCACGGCTAATGATGATACACACTCATTAAAAACTTCCCCGTAAGCTTGCGTTGATTATCTAACCTTCAAGTACACACGCACACGTACCCACATGTACACCAACCCATTTCTGCCTCCTCCTTCAGACGTCAGTTGGCAGATCAGGCTCTCACAGCAGGACGGTGGGAAGGCAGCCAGTGAGAGTGGGCTGGGGCCAGGAAGTGGTACCTCATAATAGTGTGAGGGTGGGGTTGGCTACACAGGCCGAGGCACAAACAACACACAAGAAATAAAGCGGAGCAGATGCCTTTTTCTTCGCTGGCAAATCTGTCGTCTTTCCTCCAGGCGGTGTGGCGGTGGCTCATCGCAGAAGAAGAGGCAAAAAAAAAAAAAAAAAACGCTCAAAATTTTTTTTGAACCCTGTTTTTGGTTTTCGTTTTTTTTTTTTTGGGG